TATATATTACCATCAGAGTCAGGTGATGCTCAAGTAGCCAAGATTGAGAACCTAGTGATAAAAGAATGTCCAAAAGGGAATAAAGTGTAAAGTGGAAAGGAACCCCGGAATTTCTCAGTTATTTCCAGGGGAAGCAAGCCACCAGTGTTGTGCTTACGTATCTGTATCTGCTTACCTTGGTTATTTTCTTCATCTCTATCTGAGGTCGAGCATCTTCAAGGATCTGCCCTCTGCTAGCAATTTGAGGGGACACGTGTATTTTTCAGACTGAAGGGAAGATTCAGGAAGCCTGGATTCCGAAATCTCCTGAGGTATCTGGCCACAGTTCAGGGCTCCCCACGCCTTTCCTATGCTTCATCCACACAGTGGGATGGCCCCTGGAGCAGGGAAGTGGGAAGGACAAGATGGCTACTCATGGACTGCCTGGCACATGCCAGCACCAGCAACCAGCTCCCCACACATAGGACTTAAAGCAACTGCCAGATGGGCATCGGCTTTTGATCAGTCAGTACCATGTCAAGCCAGAGACCTGCAGGGAAATGGCCAAGCTCCCTGGAGTTCACTAGTAGGAATCCCTCTTGCAGCCTGGGGAGAGGCACTTGAGGAATGTGAGTATAGAATGAAAAGTGGGGTGCAGGCAGGGAGAGGGGCAACTGCATGGGGGTGGCAACCATCTCTTCCAAGGCCAGGTTTCAGCTGAAGGAAGAAACATACCCCTTTCTTTTCTGGTGGTTGGAGGAGGATTTTTAGGCTGCATTTGCAAATTTTGCTGCTCTGCCCCAGGGCTCCAAGTGAGCCTTTTAGCCTCAGCCAACAGACCTGTAAAACCAAGTCCATTAGAGTGGGTCCCCCTGGTGTTTCCTGTGTCAAGCACAGGGATGTGGCAGTGACACAGTAGCAGGGCTGTTTATAAGACTCATGATGACTCCGGTGGGTCCACTCACCCGAGGGCCTAGAGAAGTCCTTGTCTTCTAAAGGACTCCTCTGGGGCTTGGGCTGGTGTCCTTAGGAAACCCAGTCTGCATCCTTAACATGGAGATTCAGAGGGCCCCCAAAGCTGTGCATTGGGAGAAGGTGTCCCCTCCTCCTGGGCCCCTCCTGGAGCAGCCAGGCCAAGTGTTAAGCAGAGGCCCATCCCGACACAGCGTGCTCTGTGCCTGTCAATAACAGCCTCCTTGACTTGACCGCTCTTCTCATAGTAAACCAAATGCCCACCAGTTTTGCTTGTTTGCTCTAACCTTCAAAGAGCCCAGAGGTCCCTTCCTAGTTCAACAAATAAATCCAGTTCCACTCTAGCAGGCTTCAGCCCACAAAGTTCTATTGTTAAGCCTTCCCTGAGTTTCCACTGTTCGCTCCCTCTCTCGCACTTTAGCCCCATGCCTGTTCACCCTTCTTTGGTTTGGGGATAAATCTGCCTCCGTTTTGGTTTTGTTTTAATTCTTTCAAAGGGTAAGGAATGTTGACACCCCCTGAAACATGCCTCTGATGTCTGGTTAGACTTCAGACGGCTGTATTTGAGCGTGCGCTGACGCAATCGGGCAGATTGGGTTAAACCAAATATTACAATTGCAAGAACTCATCTGGAACTAATAATTTTGAGGCCACCGAAAGTAAAAGGGCCCTGCTTTGAGGCTGGCCAGAGGCAGAGGCCAGCTCGGGCCAATGCTGCCACCTGCCGTGGGCGCAGGGAACAGGGCGCGCCACCCGGCCTTCCTGTTTTGTTCACGACCCACCGGCTCCCACGCAGACAGGTTCGCCAGTCAGCCAGACCAGGGCTATTTTAAAAGGCTAGCGCCTCTCGGCAGCCCTTGGTATAAAGATAGCTAGTCTGGCTGCTCTGTGTCTTCCCTGAGAAAAGACAACCTCCCAATTATAGAACCAGGGCTGGCTACCAGGGCCTTTGCAGTTGGAGCTCCACTAAACATGCACCCCCTTGGACGAAACAGATCGTGTGTCGCTGGCTCACTTAGGAGGAAGGCTCGTTTAAGAAAGAATTTTTATTTTGCGGGGGATGAAGGGAACGCACAACTCTGGGTTATGTCGGCACATTGGTGAACTGCAAGTCACACGCCAGATCCAGAAATGATGAAAACATCTGTTTTTGCTTTAGACCAGAGAGGCCCTCGCGGTGGGGAGGGGTGGGGAAGGGACGAGAACGACTTTGCTCACAAGCGCCATCTGCTGAGCCTGCTGTAGAAACGCGTGCGTCGGCAGCACAATGCAGGTTGCGGCTCACCCCGGGAAGGGGGAGATCAACAGGTGGGGGTCTCTGCCCTGGCGATCACTTTCCTTGGAGGACATCCCTGATTGTGCCCTTGGGACTGTGCGATTCCGTATTGTCTCGGGGTGTTCACAACAAAGAGCTTTGTCCCTGGGGACTGCTCTGGGGCAGAGGAGGAGGAGGAAGAGAGAAGCAGCAAATGAATTCCCAGGTTGGAAAGGAAGGAGGTAAAGGGGGAGGGGAGGAGCTCGTTGGTGGTTTGCAGACAGTAAAATTTGCTGTTCCTTCTGGCTGAAATCTACCAGAACAAAGGAACTGCATCTCAAGGAGAGCTCCAGCTGCACTTCCCCCAGCCAGCTATGATGGCTTTTACTCTGCAGGTCTGAGAAGGTTCTAGTATTCACAGAGGGCATTCTGGTGAGGCAGGGCTTGACCAGCCCTTGAACGTGAAATCCACCCAGCCCTGGGGAAGGGTTCTGAATAGGAGCCACTCTGACAGCCAAGATGCAGCATTCTTTCAATGTTCGGCAAATATTTGCTGCCTGCCTGCAAGGTGCCCAGCCCTCACTCAGCGCAACTATTTGTCATATAGTTTAAAAAACAATACAAATATGTCAGAGGAAAATGTATGTTTAGTGTCAAATCAGTGTTAAAGACGATGACAGCTTTGAGTTCAGAGGCAGGGAGAGGATTGCAGATCCTGAATCTACCTTATCTTGGTGCATGGGGACAATTCTCAGAAGAAGCTTTATGCTCCCCATCATCAGTTGGATAGTCAGTCCCCAGAGTGACTGATTGCCCTCAGCCTGCTACAGCACTCGCTGCTAGTCCCCCAGCCTTAAAGACAAGTCCTTCCTTGAGACGCAGAACCACCAAAACTACATCTTACTAGCCACAGTCAGAATTGGATGGGGACCTAGATTCAAATCCCAGGCATCTCTCCTGTGCTAGTTGCAAAATTCTGAGATACAGCCACCTGAACAGTGCTTCCCACAGGTGGAGAGGGGCAAATCAAAAAAAGGAAGAAACTTCCAAGTGAAAAGATGTAGGCTTGCTGACCTCTGCCACCCTTTACCCTCAGTTGCTGAGCATACCTGCAGCAACCTGCTTCTCATCTTTGAGGTTCCAAAAAGGGCAAATGAGACTGAAGTCAGTTTGTCTACTCTTTTTTGTTCCCTTTCCTATAAACTCCCAAATTGATAAGGAAACTGAGTCCCTCTGTTGGAACCCAATTCTTGCCATTCTTTCATTTCGCCCCTGAATAAGTACAGGAAGAAACTATCCTTATCTTGGGTCTAGGAACCTGTCTGCCACCTAAGGGATAAATTGGAAAAAGACTCTTTTGCATTTTACAGCTGAACAAATATTTCATAGATTCTTGCAGATCTTGCCACTAGCTATATCCCCGGTGGCCAAAATCTGTTTCTATAGGAGCCACATTCTTAAATTAGGACCCAAACTAATCCTCAAAGTCACCTGCAGGTCCATCTGTCACTGGCAGTGATCCGCTCTGTAATGGCAGATTACTAATGCAGGGGACCCATGCAAATCATTACAGTGAACTTCACTTTTTGTTTCAGACCTTGAAAGAGTAAAACATGAGACTTCATTTTAGTCTTGCTTGGAATTAGACTGTTCCTGGAGTTTTGATGAATTTTCTTTATTTTATAAACTAAGGAAACTTAGTCATTAATTCATAATTCTTATCTTGATTCTTTTTTTTTTTTCCTTTTCTTTTCTCTCATTTCTGCCTGGTTTTGTAACAGGTCTGTGTTTGGATCCATTAGGGACTGGATAGGAAACATTTCATGTCCTGCATTGACATCTCTGAGCTCAGAATTTAGAATGTTTTGCAGACATTCAACAAAATAAAATCTCTGAACCAGCCTCCAACAATAGGGCAGGAAAAAAAGGGGGGCACAAAAATAAACATTGGTGATTTGGCGTTTTAGTAGGTGTGGGATGCCAAGCCCCCAACCTGTTTTTCCAGTCCTAACCGGTACTCTCTTTTCCTCACTTTAAAAATAATTTCTATTGCCCCACTTCACTCTATCCATCTTGGTGTGATTCTCTTCACACAGAGAAATAACCTTTGTTCAAAGCTCCGATTTCCTAAGCTGTGCTGAATTCTGCAAGATCACTCTCCACAGACAAGATTAGTACCTCCTTTCCAGCTCCAAATAGACTATAATCCAAAAGCTGCTCTTTTTAAATAGAGGTTTCTTTTATGCTTAAATTCCTAAATAAAAGAAACATCAATGCTACTGCTAGTCTCCCCCAGTTAAATCCGATTTGCAAGAAGTGCTTGCATGCTCAAAAATCTAGGTGTGAGCTGAAGTCTGGGCTCAGGAACATATTTGGGATTCTCTAGTCATTCTCTAGCTGGAGAGCCCTCCAGTGGCCAAAATAATACCTGATATAAACAAAGACCACCAAAGCAAGGATTACAACAAAGGCTGAGGGGTGGACGCTAGCCTGAATTGAAAATGCGGCATTGGAGCCCACATTTTGCTTGGTAGAGGTGTGTCTCATTTAAAGAAAGCCAAGACAGAATCTCAGCTCACAGAACTGTGACATTATTTGCATTACAAAAGGACCCTTCACTTAATAAAAAGGGGCAGATTTGAACTCCATTAAACGACAACTCCCCCTAATTTCGTTAAGATTCTATTGAATTTACCAAAAAAAAAAAAAAAAAGACTGACATGCAAATTTCCAGGACACATTTGTGGCATATGACATGGTACATTTGTACTTACTTTAGTCAATCCACCACCCATATTTCCTTCTCGGAAAGCCTCCTAAGTAGCATGACTATAAGACAGGAGAAAGTGGAGTTCTCAGAACCTGTGAGATGGGAAGAGTAGGCACAAGTTCAAGGTCCTTGAGCCCAGAGCTGCCTTCCTAGAGGACAGTGAGAAAGCAGCTGGTTCACTCTGGACTTCAAGGATGTTGCTGGCTTCCAGAAAGTGTCCTAGCTCTGCTACATATTAGTGTGTCACGTCATATGGGCATGCCTCCGCTTCTTGTGGTGTAAAACGAGGGGTTGGTTATTGGGGGCGGGTTCCAAGTTATTGGATTTTTTTTTTTTCCTTGGAGCCCGGGGGGGAAGTCCAGGGGAGGGAGATCTTTCCCACCATGTCCCTTCAGTCCTTCTGACTTTGTTTCCACACCCCTTGCTGATTGGTGGCCTGCAGCTGTCACACCAAGCTGTGACACCCTGCCACACACCACTGTGTTCACACATCTGCCTTCACCCCATTCCCCATGAGGCCAACCCCTGCCCATCCTCCATGGCCCAGGTCAAGTGCCAATTCTGCCCCAAAGCCTTACACAACTGCCCTGAAAGAAGCTGGGAGGTTTTCCTCTCCACTTGGTGTTACCTACATGTTGAACGCCGGCCTCTGTCCCAGCACCTGGAAAGCTGGTTCCCTCCAGCCTGAGGATTGTCAGGAGCCAGCGCCCCCTTTGTCCTCCATCCCCAGTGCTCACCCTGCTACTGGGGACTTGGTCTTTGAGTGAATGTTTAATAAAAGGGAGTGACTCTTGAGAGCAGGGCCCCTTCCATTCCCCTGGTTTTGGGGCCAGAGGCCTCTCCCCAAAGCCTGCTCTGTCACTGATGGATGCTGGGAGACCAGCACCCCTACACCCCCCCACACACAAGTTTATGATGGTGATGGAGAGAATGTCCTGTGTCCCCCATTCTCTCTTAATCAGTCCCCATTATCAATCAGATCCCCCTTTGTGCTATAATGACTTGTGCTAGAGATTGAATGCTGTGTCCCCAGCAAATACGTAGGTTAAAACCTAAACCCCAAGGTGATAGCATTGGGAGGAGGGGTCTTGGGTGGTGAGTGGGTCATGAGGCAGGCCCCCATGAATAGGATTAGTGTTATTAATAAAAGAGGCTCCAGAGAACTGCCTTGCCCCTTTTTCTCTGTAAGGGTCCAGCAAGAAGTCCATGAACTAAGAAGCAGGTCCTGCTCAGACACCAAACCTGCCAATGCCTTCATCTTGGATTTCCAGCCTTCAGGGCAATGACCAATCAGTTTCTGTTGTTTATAAGCCCCCTAGTCTGTAGTATTCCCTTACAGCAGCCCAATGGACCAAGACAACTGGGCTCTCTTTTTGCACTGTCAGCAGCTGCAGCAGCAAACCCTCCGGAGTAGCAAGGATCTGTCTGGATACTTGCAAGGGCTGGGCCAGGTCCTTCTAGTTCAAGGGATAGGATATGTCTGAAGGGGATGCTGGCATCCCGTAGCAGGTGGAGGTGAGCTGCAGTCATGAATTTC